GAACCAACCACTGTAGCTACAACATTTAAAGTAAATTATGAATTTAAAGGTACAAAGATATTTCAGATAGTTAGGCATGGGGTCACACCTGACAGTAATGTACTGCACAGTGGAATACTGTACCATAATATTTATGTATTCTGAGTAATAGAGGATTAAGAAAAAGTTATTTGAAAAAACTTATTTTAATATACATAGTTTTCAATATAAAACTATATAAATTACAGAAAGTGTATATACATAAATGTCTAACTCTTTCATGCCGGGCCTATACTGTGTATGATAGTGAGGGTTCCTAATAGATCAGTATACTAAAATAACAATAAATGAATCTGTTATACTATTATAGTACATAATCTGTTATACTGTTATACTGTATATTACAACCCAAATAATGAATAGAATAAGAGAATTCATCAACCAGACAAATATACTTTGATATTTTTTGAGAACTAACATATATACACCTGTTGATAATCATTTTGCCTACAGCTTAATCATACCCAAAAGCATAGCGATCCATATATGCCTTATGCATATCTAAAGAATTCCTTCTTATACGTCTGCCAATGGGCTCCAGGTCATTGTAACACCTATCAAAGACTCTGTCGACCGCTTCTCTTGCCACTTTTTCACTCACTTGCCGTACAGCCATCACTGACAAGGCAGCTTTTGTCTTGACACACTCCTAAAAGAAAATATAAATGATTCAGATGTATAAATAAAGGGTGCAATATAATGCTAATAAACTATCTTGAAATATATGAAATAGCTTAAACAGTCCTCCATAATAAAAACAGTGAGGAATAAATTAGCAGTACTGTAAGCTCTCAAACTGCACCGTTTCAGAAAATGTGCCTGTACACAAAAGGCTTATATATTTAATAGGCTTATATTAATACCTATTTCAAGGCATGAGCAATGGGGCCTGGTCGAGGACCGGGCTGCGGGGACACTAAGCCCCGAAATCCTTTCAAGGTAACCTCAAGGTATAGTTCCCATGGACTGGAGGTATTATTATTATTGGAATGCAAATGTTAAAATGTTAACAACATAAATTTAGTCGGCCTGGCAGTGGCATGACCCCTCTTCCTCCTTAACACCTGGTCAGAGACAAATGGCAGCGTTTCCCTAAAAATATACCATATTTTAAGCAAACTCATACAATATCACAGTGGCATGATATATAAATAAAAATCATTTTGAGGCTCTGGACTGACTGGAACTCGCAACTGGGTGATTCCCAGATGCCTGCCTTAACTAACTCGGCCACGGTGGTACAAAAGTAAACGAACCCAGAACTCTACCGAGTCCTCTGGGAAGTTCTGGAGGTGACAAACCGAGGCCCAACCAGGGTGTTCTAGTTAACCTGACCACACTCGGGCCTACAGTAATGGCATTCACTCTTTTTATACCCCAGTTTTGATGCCGAAGTCTCGTTCTAACCATGCAGTGGCCTGTTTTGTTTCGCTGACATTCTAGGTGCTTCCCTAGTGGTGGCAGACATGAATAACTTTAAGCACAAGCTATTCATGTCTGCCTTGCTTGCCATTATGGCTCGTTAGTTGTATGAAGTGCTAGTTGCATGAAGTGTTGCTTGTTTGATTTCTGTCTAGGGTATCTTTTTGGATGTAGATTGCACAGGTTAACCAGGCGGTGGTCTGTTTTGATTCCCCTACTTTTCTGAGTCCTTCCCCGGTCGATGGCAATTATGACATACTTTAAATGTAAAGTGCTCATAGGCCATTGCACCCTGAGCCTCTGAGGGGGCCCAGGTTATGACTCAAGGTCTCCAGAAGGCATAAGGACTCCTGTGACTGATGACCCCAAACTAACATGGCACATATCAGTTCAGATAGCTTCAGGGAGTCGACGGGGATCCCCACAGAAAAGAACAGATGAAAAGGGAAGGTGGACAAGAGGGCTAAGGATCAAGTTGAATATAAAATCTAGGTGAGAACAAATCTGGAGCAGGTAGAATTCATCAACCCCTCTGAGTCTCTAAACACTAGAGCCCTTCCACCCCATGGCATCCACTTGAGCACCAAACTGCAAACCACAAATACATACAAATTGAGTGTGCCAAGCAGTTGCTGCCTGTCAAGCCTCCTGCATTGAAGCAAGCCCCGCAAAAAGAGAGAGCCAGCAAACACAAATGTTGCAGGCCTTGGGATGGAAGATATCACCCAGCAAACAGGCAGCATGGCTCCTCACAACAACAATGACCATCATCATGCAGCAAGGCCGATGGTTACTCAATACACGGGTGGTATACGAACAAGAGGACACAGGTGGAACGTGAACAAGGGGACACAGGTGGAACGTGAACAAGGGGACACAGGTGGAAACAGAGTACCCAAATGAGCCACAGGGATTTTAGAAAGAACATTTCAGTGTCAGAGTAGTTAACAGATGGAATGCATTAGGCAGCGAAGTGGTGGATGCTGACTCCATACACAGTTTCAAATGTAGATATGATAGAGCGCAGTAGGCTCAGGAATCTGTACACCAGTTGATTGACAATTGAGAAGTGGGATCAAAGAGCCAGAGCTCAACCTCCGCAAGCACAACTAGGTAAGTACACCTGTCAAACTCAAAAGTAGCAAGCACGGGTTCAGCAGGTTGATCTATAGCAAGCTGTGTCGAAGACCCACAGGGCTGACCAGGTCTTGAAGGACGGTATGACGAGCACTAGGAATGCTCGGCAAAAGAATTGACGGCAAATGCAAGCTTGAAGATAAACGCAGCAGCCTTGGGGTAGAACAGCCTTGAAGTACCCAATGCTAGGCATCCTATACAAAAATATGGCCTCACAGGGGCGAACTCTCGAACTCACCAGAAGAGGCATGCTGTTAGAGCAGGGTCAATACCAAAACAAGTACTTAGTGAGGGCGGGGGGGGGGGTAGCACTAAATACATGCAGCTCAAGGCAAAGAAAGACCAAGTCTGCTCAACAAGTGAGACTTGAAGCGCACACTCGTGAAACAAATACTAATGTAGTGAATGACATGTAAGCAAATGGCCCCCATGGGGCAGAGTCCAAAGGATGGTCTTACATTCTTTGAAAAACTGGGACTTGCTATAGCTGGTGACTCAAGGAGGTCAATACTCAGGAACATCAAGGATAGGAACGAGGGTTGGATAATGTGGGACTGCTACCTCTTGGTGGGCCGGCCATAATTAATGTGGGCTTCACTTAGTTACTGAACAGTACTTTGTGAATTGTTTATCGAGTCATTTGCCATTTCAGTTCTTTTCTATCTGTGATCCTTACAGTTGTCTGTATTAACACTATCGGTAACTTTGGACCGGACTTGCGTCCACTACAAAAAATATTTGTATAAAATTCATTTTTTATCCATTTGACCTCGGGATAGTATCAAAATAAGCACCTTTAGAATGCGCACAATTTGATACCAAAATGAAAGATGTAACATGAAACTTGATATCCGAACACTTATATGATTATAAATAGGCTTTTGGTCAAAATTTTAAAATATTTGTTAAAATTCTATTTATTATGCTATTATGTTGGGACTAGTTTTAAAATGTGCGCCATTACATTGCAAACAATTTGATACCAAAATGAAAGATGTAACACAAAAATTTATGTCAGAACACTGGAAAGATATAAATAATTTTGTGATGATGAGTGTCCAGAATTAAAATATTTGTTAAAATTCCAGTTATTGCTCTATTATTATGGGACTAGTTTTAAAATACGTGCCTTTTTATTGCGAACAATTTGATACCAAAATGAAAGACGTAACATGAAAATTGATGTTATCAAACTGAACAAGTATACACATTAGGTTGCAGTGTACAAATTGGTGCTCATTTACGGGTAACTTTAGGCTTTTCTGTGGGGAGGCACTCCAAACTTTTGTACATTATATTCATACACATCTGTAGGGAATTTAATTGCGAACACAATTATACCAAAACGAGCAACGTAGCATGAGAATTAAGGTGAGAAAAATGGAACGAGTATGCACATTTTACTGATTTTGTGCGCTCACGGGTAACTTTTGCCGACTTTAAGCTTTGCTGTTGGGAGTCACGCCAGGCTTTTGGACATTATAGTTATACAGTGGTACCTCGGAATGCGATTGTCCCTGTATGCGAGGTTTTCGGAAGGCGAGGTGTATTTACTCCAAAAATTTGTCTCGGAAGGCGATGGTTACTTCAGGAGGCGAGTTTGAACGCGAGTTTGTTGATACGCGTACAGCCGACCTAGCGCGTGGTCGTTCGGCGATCGTCGCCCCTCTGCCCCTCAGTTCACCATTGTCTCGCGCTCAGTGACTACCCCCACATCAATTCTTGTCGTGGATTTTCAGTGTTTTGTTGGATTTTTGGTGATTTGTCTATACAATTTGTTATTATATATCTCACCATGAGTCCCAAGAAAGCCAGTGGTAAGGATAAAGGCCAGAAAGCTCATGTGAGGATGACAATAGAGGAGAAACAAGAGATCATTCGTAAGCATGAGAACGGTACACGTGTTGTTGAACTTTGTAGGCAGTACAAGAAAGCCACATCAACAATATGCACTATACTTAAGAAGAAAAATAAGATTATGAGTGCTAATGTGGCAAAAGGAGTAAGAACATTAACGACACAAAGACCACAAATACTTGAAGAAGTGGAAAAGTTGTTATTAATTTGGATACACGACAAGGAGTTGAGGGGTGATAGTGTTTCGGAGGCCATTATTTGTGAGAAAGCCAGGGTGTTGCACGAAGACCTTCTAAAGAAGACCCCTGCAACGAGTGATGCAGATAAGAAAGAGTTTAAGGCAAGCAGGGGCTGGTTTGAAAAATTTAGAAAGAGAAGTGGTATCCATAGTGTTACAAGGCATGGGGAGGCAGCCAGCTCAGACAAACCAGCCGCTGGACGATTTATTGACGAATTTAAAGAGTTTGCAGAGACTGAGGGATACCTACCGCAACAAGTGTTTAATTGTGACGAAACAGGACTGTTTTGGAAAAGAATGCCTAAGAGGACATACATTACCAAGGAGGAAAAATCCTTGCCTGGACACAAGCCTATGAAAGATAGGTTTACGCTTGTGCTGTGTTCAAATGCGAGTGGCGATTTGAAAATTAAACCCTTGCTAGTGTATCATTCTGAAAATCCAAGGGTTTTCAAACAGTATAATGTGCAGAAAACCCGTTTGTCTGTGATGTGGAAGTCTAATAAAAAAGCATGGGTCACTAGGCTTATTTTTTCGGAGTGGGTGAATGAAGTGGTGTGCCCTGCCATAGAAAAATATCTGCAGGAGAAACAATTGCCACTCAAAGCCGTGCTTCTCCTTGACAATGCTCCTGCTCATCCTCCAGGCTTGGAAGATGATTTGATGCCTCAATACAATAAATTCCTCACAGTTAAATTCCTTCCTCCTAACACCACTCCTCTAATTCAGCCTATGGACCAGAAAATCATAGCGAATTTTAAGAAACTTTATGAAAGGGCACTTTTCCGGAAATGTTTTGAAGTGACTGAAGCCACAAACCTCACCCTCAAAGAGTTCTGGAGAGAGCATTTTAACATTTGTAGTGCTTTAAAACTCGTTGACAAAGCCTGGCAAGAAGTGACTCAAAGAACCCTGATCTCTGGCTGGAGAAAATTGTGGCCTGAAGGTGTGAGAGAACTAGACTTTGAGGGGTTTGAGCCTATAAATGATGCGCCTATTGTTGAGGAAATTGTTAGTCTAGGCCAGCAAATGGGCTTGGAATTGGATGGTGATGATGTGGAGGAGTTGGTGGAAGAACACAACGAAGAACTGACCACCGAAGAACTCCTAGCCCTTCAACAGGAACAGCAAGCCAACACAGCAGCGAATGATTCTGCAGTGGAGGAGGAGGTGGCAGCAGCACCAACAGCACCAGCGAGTGTCCCTTCTGCAGTAATTAAGAAGGTGTGTCAGATGTGGGAAGAGATTCAAACAACTATTGAACATACTCACCCAGACAAAGCTGTAGTAGGCCGTTGTCTTAATCTTTTCAATGACAATGTGATGCCTTACTACAGAGAGAGCTTGCGAAGAAGGGAAAAGCAAGCTTCCATGGACAAATTTGTGGTGAGGAAATCGAGCAGTGAGCCTCAACCAGGACCTAGTGGCACTCAGGTTAAACGTCCCAGGGAGAGCACACCAGAAAGGTCCTCACTGCCTGATGTGATTATGGAAGGGGACTCCCCTTCCAAACAATAACTCCTCTCCTCCTCCCCCCTCCTCACCATCTTCCATACGCCTACAGCACTCGACAGCAAGGTAAGTAATAACTGGAACACAGTTTTGTAGGTTTATTTAGATGAATTAGGTAAATTAGGTATAAAAATTTAGTTTGATGTGGGGTTTTTGGGGTAGTCAGGAACGGATTAATTCATTTCCCTTTATTTCTTATGGGGAAATTAACTTCGGAATGCGAGTTTTCGGAAGGCGAGGCGTCTCCAGGAACGGATTAAACTCGCATTCTGAGGTATGCCTGTACACCCTTGTAGGGAATTTAATTGCGAACACAATGATACCAAAACGAGCAACGTAGCACGAGAATTAAGGTGAGAAAGCTGAAACGAGTATACACATTTAGGTGTCACCGCACGCTAGGTACATGACCTACAAGTTGACTGCGTGCCTGCCCGGTGACCAATAGTGTTAATTTGTCTCCTTTATGGAAGTTTCCTTTGGTGAGGGTAATTGTAACAATGCCAAGGGCCTGACAGCTCAAGGCAAAGAACAGTGCTCGGGATTCATAGTCCTAAGGTTCCGGGTTCGATCCCCGGCGACGGAAACAAATGGCCAGAGTTTCTTTCACCCTGATGCTCCTGTTCACCTAGCAATAAATAGGTACCTGGGACTTAGACAGCTGCTACAGGCTGCTTCCTGGGGGTGTGTAACAAAGAGGAGGCCTGGTCGAGGACTGGGCCGCAGGAACGCTAAGCCCCAAAATCGTCTCAAGATAACCTCAAGAAGATAACCCGGCTTCCTCTGCCTCTGCGAAGGGGGGCCAGGTTCTGGCTCTGGTCTCTGGTGGCCGTTTCACAACTCCTTGGTCTGATATGGCTCATGTGTAAGGAGCTATCTCAGTGACCTAGATTCACAGAGCCACCATTCAACCCCTCCAGAAAAACTTGATAACAAATTTGCCCCAAGCATTCAACAGTCTCTAACTTACCTGGTGAGCTTTAGCAATTTTGAATGGTGATGCATCTCCCTGTGCACAAGCTGAGAGGAAGGAACAGTGAGCCAGATTGGCAGCTCTTATCTCGGTGCACGCTAAATGTTCCACATTCTTAAAGTCTAGTTTATTGCGGCAGTAATCGAACATGTGGATCAACTCGTGTGTCAGAACTCCCTGGATCATGCCTTCTGATCTGGTCACATTCTGGCAGATAACAACCTGGCAAAAGATAAAAGATAAATTTTTGCAGATCAAATTTTAATTTACTAAATTAGTAACTGTAAAAGTATAATCCAGAAAATGAACTACAGTACTGATTAATGATTACACATATGTACACAGACTCAATGTGCATTCAATAGAATTCAACGTGAGTAAATGCCATGTTGTGGAATGTGGAATCGGAGAAAATAGACCACACACAACTTACAAATTATGTGGAAAGGAAGTATAAAACTCTAATAAGAACAAGACCTCGGGGTGGTTTTGGATAGTAAGCTGTCGCCAGCAGAGCACATAAGAACATTGTGAGAGGAGCGTTTGTGTTGCTTTCCAACTTCAGACTTGTTTTTAATTATACAGATGGTGAAATAATAAAGAAACTGTTCATGACTTTTGTGAGACCAAAATTGGAATATGCAGTAGTTGTATGGTGCCCATAGCTCAAGAAGCACATAACTAAACAGGAAAAAAGATTCTTTACACTGTACACAGACAAGAGTAACAAGGACCTTCTGTTCACTCACAGACAAGACTAACAAGAACTATCCCTCTCACCTTGTGAAGGGGATAACGACAAGAACGTACCTGGTTGGTCTCCGAATCATAGCCTCCATTAACAGTGACGTCACAGACCTCACAGGATATGTGGCGTCCAAGATCCACTTCACTGAAAATTATAAACCAAAGTTACTAGATAGTATTGATAGAAATAATTTGATATGTTCAGACTGGTTCTCCTTTCACAGGTAAATTTTTACTACCAGGAGCCTTATGGCTCCATGAAGCTACTATCTCTGATACGGTGCCAAGCTACTAGATGCCATCAGTTGTGGAGCTCTTTTAGGCCATTCGGGGAGTTCTCTGCCAAACAAGGTATAGTGATGTCGCTGTCCGCCTAGTGCTGTGAACATCATAAACAGCACTGTGTTCACTGATATCTGAACATTATACACAGTCTTTATCACAGTCTTGTTCTTTTATAATACTACCATTGCAAAATAATAGCAGTTTCATATATATTTTGTCATTTTTAAACGATGCTGTGGTCACAAATTGAACAGCAGTGCTGTGAGCTCATGCTGCGTGTGCCAGCCTTGGTTACTCACTCAGTACTGAGACCTTCACACCCAGGAATGGTTATCTTCTTGAGGTTATCTTGAGATGATTTCGGGGCTTAGCGTCCCAGCGGCCCCGTCCTCGACCAGGCCTCCTTTTTGTTACACATTCCCAGGAAGCAGCCCGTAGCAGCTGTCTAACTCCCAGGTACCTATTTATTGCTAGGTGAACACATGCGTCATGGTGAAAGTAACTCTGCCCATTTGTTTCCACCTCCACCAAGGATCGATCCCGGAACCTCAGCACTTACGGTGCCCATGGTGACCATGATTTTTTTGTCACTCGGTCTCTGCACCTCTGTGAGGGAAGGCCAGTTTGGGCTCTGGTTCCCAATAACACAAACAAACCCCCCCCCCTGTGTCTGATGTGACCTATATTGACCCATATTGCATGGAGCAATCTCGGCAAGATAGCTTCAGAGAGCCACCGGAACTCATGTTTTAGTTTCAATTTTTCAGACTCGTCCAATCATTATTGCGATCCTCCAGTCTTCACTCTTTCGTTTAAGGTAAATTTTATACGTAATTTCTTTAATTTTTTTAAATTAATGACAAACATTTTTAAATGTTTTACTTTGAATATCTGAATGAATTAGTTCCAAATGATATAAGAAACAGGGGTCCTCGACTCACAAACATCTGATTTACAATGATTCAGTTTTATGAACAGCTTCAAAGTCTCCATTTAAGCCCCATATATCTGGGTCCCAGTACTACAGTCGGGTTCGTAGGGTCCCAGTACAACAGTCGGGTTTGTAGGGTCCCAGTACCCCAGTTGGGTTTGTAGGGTCCCGGTACTAAAGTTGGGTTCGTAGGGTCCCAGTACTGCAGTTGGGTTCGTAAGGTCCCAGTACTACAGTCGGGTTCGTGGGGGTCCCAGTACTACAGTTGGGTTCATAGGGTCCCAGTACTACAGTTGGGTTCGTAGGGTCCCAGTACTACAGTTGGGTTCGTAGGGTCCCAGTACTACAGTTGGGTTCGTAAGGTCCCAGTACTACAGTCGGGTTCGTGGGGGTCCCGGTACTACAGTTGGGTTCGTAGGGTCCCAGTACTACAGTTGGGTTCGTAGGGTCCCAGTACTACAGTTGGGTTCGTAGGGTCCCAGTACTACAGTTGGGTTCGTAGGGTCCCAGTATTACAGTTGGGTTCGTAGGGTCCCAGTACTACAGTTGGGTTCGTAGGGTCCCAGTACTACAGTTGGGTTCGTAGGGTCCCAGTACTACAGTTGGGTTCGTAGGGTCCCAGTACTACAGTTGGGTTCGTAGGGTCCTAGTACTACAGTTGGGTTCATAGGGTCCCGGTACTACAGTCGGGTTCGTAGGATCCTGGTACTACAGTCGGGTTCATAGGGTCCCAGTACTACAGTTGGGTTCGTAGGGTCCCAGTACTACAGTTGGGTTCGTAGGATCCCGGTACTACAGTCAGGTTCGTAGGGTCCCAGTACTACAGTCAGGTTCGTAGGGTCCCGGTACTACAGTCGGGTTCGTAGGGTCCCGGTACTACAGTTGGGTTCGTAGGGTCCCGTTACTACAGTTGGGTTCGTAGGGTCCCGATACCACAGTCAGGTTCGAAGGGTCTCGGTACTACAGTCGAGTTCATAGGGTCCCGGTACTACAGTCGGGTTCGTAGGGTCCTGTTCCCCGTTCTCAATCTCTGGATTTTATCTTTTACATGTAGCTTGAAATGAATTTCTAGAAAAGGCCTGGGTCAGTTTTACATTTGTCTGCTATACCTTTCTCAAAGTTCCTTTCTGCCTCTCTCCTCACTGCTGTGAAATTATTTCTTTCTTGCTTGTAGTGCTCGTATGTTTGTGGGTTAGGCCCCTTCCAATATTGAACCCATTTTCTTGTCTTTTCTTCTCTGGCCCTCTCAATTTCTCTTGACCCAATCCTGTTTTCTGGTCCTGTATCTCTGTTTTGGTATGAATGTTTGTGTGCCTCATCATATATTTTGCAAAATTTGGCATACATCTCATTTACTTCCTTGCCTAGCAACAAGTCTGTCCAATAAAATTCATTAAAGAATTTTCTAAGTTCCCCATAGTCTCCTCGCTTGAAATCAAGTTTATAAAATGGTTCAATGTCCCCATTTTCTTCTAGATTATATCACAAAGCATATTTAATTTCCAACAGGACATGATCACTCTTTTTTCCAAGGAAGGAAGGTACTGGATGTCAAGTATCTCCTCTTCTTTCTTGGTGAATATTAGATCCAGTATTGACAGAACATCCCCTTCCATCATTCTTGTAATTACCTAAGTGTAGTTACAGGATGAGAGCCACGCTCGTGGTGTCCTGTCTTCCCAGCACTCTTTGTCATATAATGCTTTGAAATTACTGACAATTTTGGCCTCCACCACCTTCTCACCTAACTTATTGCAACCGTCTACCACGATGTTTACAAAAGTGAATTATCTTAAATTTCTTCAGCAGCTTTGTTTAGTTAGTTTAAATCTATGACCTCTTGTTTTGAAGTTCCGGGTCTCAGGAATTCCTTCCTATCAATTTTATCAATTCCTGTTATTTTCTATGTAGTGATCATATCACCTCTTTTTCTTCTATAATTCTAGTTTCGGCATATTTAATGCCTCTAACCTCTCCTCATAGCTCTTATCCTTCAGTTCTGGGAGCCATTAAGTAACATGCCTTTGCACCTTTTCCAGTTTGTTCATGTGCTTCTTAAGATATTGGCAACACACAACCACTGCATATTCCAGCTTTGGTGTAACAAAAGTCGTGAACAATTTCTTTAGTATTTCCCCATCCACGTATTTAAAAGCAATTCTGAAGTTTGAAAGAGCAGCATAGGCTCCTCGCACGATGTTCTTTATGTGGTCCTCAGGCGATAGTTTTCTATCTAGAACCACCCCTAGATCTCTTTCTTTATCAGAATTCATTAAAGATTTCTCACATAATTTATAGGCTGTGTGGGGTCTATGTTCTCCTATTCCACATTCCATAAAATGGTATTTATTCCCATTAAATTCTATTTCCCAAGATACACTTATTTTGTCCAGGTCTTCTTGAAGGGCATGACAATCATCTAAGTTTCTTATCCTCCTTATTATCTTAGCAAACATGTTCATATAATTCTGTATTCCATCTGGTAGATCATTTATGTAGACAATGAACATTACCGGTGTAAGAACTGAACCCTGTGGTACACAACTCGTGACATTTCTCCAGTCTGATATATTACATCTGATTACTGCCCTCATTTTTCTGTTAGAAAATTTTCATCCATGTTTGACCCTTCCTGTCACTTCTACAATATGTTCCAGCTTCCAGAATAACCTCATATATAGAACTCTGTCAAAAGCCTTTTTTAGGTCCAGATAGATGCAGTCAACCCAACCATCTCTTGTAAAATCTCTGTGGCTCAATCATAGAAACTGAGTAAGTTCATTACACCAGATCTTTCAGATCCTGTGTAATGAATTTATGATCGTGAACTTACGATAATGAACTTATGATCCATGTAACGATCCTTCCAGATCGAAAACCTGCCTGATTGATGGTGGCCTGCTTGACGTGTTGATACATGAATGTCTCCAGAATGAGGTTGTGAGCGTGTGCGAAGAAATGTGAAATGGCACAATGGTCAAAGCAACACACACCCACAGATCCAAATGATTACAGAAATCAATCCAGTAGAGTGAAAAGACAGGAGTTACTTATATAAGGAAGGGAGGACAATGACACTTACCAACCAGAGGACTTCAAAGCTGCCAACATCAACTTCACTAAAGGACCTGTAAATTTTATTAACTTCAATTATATTGCATTACAGAAGGACATTGATAATTAATCTTAACATACATATACACAAGTAGAAATAAAGATGAACAAATAAAGTGTTAAAATGCAGATGACGAATCACGAACATGTGACTGATGATATGATGACTAAGCCCCACATCAGAAGATGAAGATGAAGAAACGACAACGTTTAGATCTGTCCTGGATTATTATCAAGTCGTATGAAAGACTCTTTCACACGACTTGAAATAAGTATACAAAACACCTTCACAAACTAGAGGTAATAAATATGCCAACGTTAGAAAACAAAAGAAAAAGATGTGCTATGATCACCATTTACAAAACAATAACAGGAATCTACCAAATTGACAAAGTGGAATTCCTGAAACCAGCAACTTCAAAGTCTCCATGGCACAGTGGTAACACACTCGCCCCGTACTTCACGAGCGATTTGGCCTGGGAGAATTCATTAGGTGCCACTCCTTAACTGTAAGCCCCTGTTCACCCAGCAGTGAATGGGTAACCGATTGTTAAACGATTTTGCGGGTCGTATTCGGGGATTAATTAGGATTAACCACTGTGCTGCAGCCTTCCAAATATGGCAACCCCCCCTCTTCCCCCCCCCCCCCTGTGCACAGGAAATAAATTCTCGGGAAAAAATTCTTTTTGTTTTTGAAAATGTTAAATACACTTTCCTGATCACAGATATGTAAAAAAAAAATTGAAATTGTAATTATTTTGGCCGCAATGGGGTTCGGAAAATGGCGTGTGACGTCACAATTTGGTGGTCGCCCATGACATAGACTCCCGAAGCCAGTCGCCCGCCAGCTTCAACATGCGCGAGTTGCCACAAATATTTTTTTGTTAAATTTGTACTTACATTTCCATATACATTTGTTTTGTTTTTTCTTGCCAATCCTATGTATAAAGAACAAATACACAATATTATGGCAGTAGAACATCAGTACTGTCACAAGAAACTGTGTTATATGTGTCTCAAATATAACGCGTGGACGCATGATCCTGTGGTCCCGGGATCTATCCCGGATGCCGGCGATAAACAATGGGCAGAGTTTCTTTCACCCTAATGCCCCTGTTACCTAGCAGTAAATAGGTACCTGGGAGTTAGTCAGCTGTCACGGGCTGCTTCCTGGGGTGTGTGTGTGGTGTGGAAAAAACAACAACAACAAAAATTAGTAGTTAGTAACAGTTGATTGACAGTTGAGAGGTGGACCGAAAGAGCAGAGCTCAACCCCCGCAACCACAACTAGGTGAATACACTGCATGAGAAATCACACAGCAGCCAGCAGACGACACCGAGTATGAGGCCACCTCCCTCACCAAAATGGTTCCTCCCGACATACTCCTGTTGCTGTTATTACACTATATACACACATTGCATATACCCATCTACATTTGTGTTCACCATAGTGAACCATTAAGCTAGTATAGTGAGCAAAACAAGAGAGGCTGCCACACACAGTGACGCTACCTCCATAACCTCCCTCCTTCCCTCCCTCACCAAACTTCCTCCTCCCACAATACTATGCACAGCACTAATTATCACCACAATCCTGTTATTATCACAATCTTGGTCACTAAATCCTGTAAATGAATAATTGACCACACGTTTATTTTGTAAAGCAACTGTTACGACCCTGGGTTCTTCAGTGGAAACCAGAGGTCAAAATTGAACTAAATAAGCTACGTTAGAGTAGCAAAACGCAACTCGATGTGTCTTTGTTTGTATCTTCCCTGCCAGACGTAAGACTATTCTTGTTTCTCAAAGAGCATTTAAAGACTGAGCTGGGGGTTGATTATTAAATAATAACATAGGCACCAACTATGTTTACTAATACTTTCTAATCATTTGTAAAGTAAACCTGAGTAAACTTGGTATAGGGCTGCAGTACGATTAGTTGAGCAGTCTGCAGGCAGCGAGCCAGCTGGGGGGGAAGGAGACTGAGACTCCATCTTTTTCTGAGCTGGCGTGGTGTGGACAGGATCCTCCTACCCTTCCTCTTCGTTTCCTTATTTCTGTGTCTTGTTCAAGATAAGTATATACTGAGTACATTATTCAATCTCTGGCATACTCATGTTCTAGGTGTAGAGTAGTATATTTTGTGTGTAGTAGGTGTTTTTAGAGTTTATATTACTAGTTACTCTAAAGGGGGGTCCCATTGGAACCACGTGGTCCCCTACCCTAAGCTGACTCTAACTTCAAGTTATTCAATAGTAGAGCTTTACCCTAGCTTGTGTTCAGTGTAAAACCTTGTATCCTGCTTATGTGGACCAAGGCTTTTAACGTAAGGTAGTGTGGTAAAGTTATTATTATTATTGTTATTGGTGTGAATGTATATGGGGGGCTGTTAAGGGGTTAATAAATAAGTACATGAATTATAAGAGTATCGTTCTTCCTGTGTAGGAGATCTTGATCATTCCCTAGACTGACCTTGTTGTGTAGCCAAGTAGTCAGCACTACTTCTAGTTTCCATGGGGGCCGGGCCTTACTGATCTCCCCAAATAGATACATCTTTATTCTGACTGACCTTACCCCTGAATAGTACTAGTTTCCCCATAGCAAGCCCACCATTTTATATAACAGCAGCAACATATGAAGTCGTTTGAAGATTCCTAGATGACGAAATAATGCTGTGGTGCTGTGGCTAGCACTGTGAACATTATAAACAGCATTGATTCACTGATATATGGACATTGTACACAATCATTATCACACTCAGGCTCTTCTGTGATACTATCATGGCTAAATAATACCATAATACCAGGTATATATATATTTTGACATTATTAGGCGATGCTGTGGTCACAAGCTGAACAGCAGTTCTGTGAGTTCATGCTGCGTGTGCCAGCCTTGGTGGCTCACTCAGTACTGAGGCTCTCACACCGGGGAATGTTGCCAACGATTTTTTTTTAAATGGCGTCTGTTTACAAAAGCCCTGAGGAAGCTGATGTGAACCCGATGTAGCCGTGGGAGTTTTGAATCATACACTAAAAATATAAGATTCCGGAGGTGCATTGTGTATCCCCCATTGATCTCATGCAGTCGCGTTGCGCAGTTCAGTGGTTAAGGTTTAACTGCGAAAATATGCACTATACTCACTTTTCTGTATACATCCCCATACATTTTGTTCACACTTCAGTTTGTCAATATTCTCTCTGCCTTCTCCTAGTAGAGCAATTTTGGTCAGGGATGGCTTATATTTGGCTCCTCGACGCTCAGGATAAAGGTCAAAACCCCATCTGTAACAGAGCTCAGGTTTTATATTCATAGTCATAAGCCAAATATAAAATACAATTTCTAGTATTTATTGGAAGATGCAAGATATACCAAAAATATAAAAACTAGTGTTACAATGTAATGAAATATGTGTTTCTGGTGGCTCCCTGAAGCTATCTGGCAAAGATGACGTCCCACTACTGGGCCTCATTACTCATTAGTCATAGGAGTCCTGTTTAGCATACTGGGGACCAGAGCCAGAACTTGGCCTTCCACAGTAAGGGGCAGAGCTGGGGTTTGTTCCAATCACCCACATTGGGAAAGCACCCAGAAAGGAAGTGAGGCAACACAGACTAGTGGAAGGCCTTACAGCCAGAGATAATGTCTGTGACTACAGGAGAATTGACAGGTACAAAAAACCAGCGTTGAATGTAATGAAACGCCATTTCTGGGTGAGTCCCGGAGGCTCCCCGGAGCTATCCCAGGCTGATATGCTAATGTCAGACTTTGGCATCAGTCATGTGTATGGAGTTCTTAGGCCTACCGGGGACCACGGCCAGAACCGGGCCCCCTCAGAGAGGCAAGGGGAGCAATGGCCTATAGAAGCCCCCGTGTAGTTGGAAGCATTCTATGTCTGCCATCGACCGGAACAGGCACCCAGAAAGGTAAGCGCCCCAAAACAAACCCCTATTCTGGTTAAAATTGCTACCTAATACCGAACTAGTGGATAGAACTCCCCAACCGAAAACAAGCAAATTAGTGTGACGTCACACACTGCCGCGCCGCTGTCTGCGCAGCTCCCCCCTCCCCGGGAGGGGGAAGGGGGAGCCCCAGACCCCCCGCGCCGGCTACCCACACCTCAGTTCTTGAGGCTGGATGTCAAAAACGCGAAAAACCGCCGACCGGAGGGAGGGAGGGATGCCGGGGAGCCTCCGGGACTCACCCAGAAAATGGCGTTTCATTACATTCAACGCTGGTTTTCTGGGGGGAGCCCCGTCGGCTCCCCGGAGCTAACTACCCACAGACAGAAAAAGAGGGACTTACCCGGGAGGCGGTCGTCGCTCACCCCTCAACTCTAAGCCGAGACAACTGGCTGCAACCGCCGACCCAAAGCAACACACTTCTAAAGCTGAACCCCAGGGACGTGTACACTCACGGGGACCTAGCAGGGGGCGCCACCGAGGAGAACAGTGGAAGGGCAAAAACAAACTGAATAAAATGACAGAACCCCCCACCAGGCAAAAAACAAAAAGAAAAACAAAACCCCGCAAGAGGACAGCGAACCCCAAGGAACAGAGCCGGCCGCGATGTCGGGAATTACAAGCTGAGCAGCACCCTGCGCCCCTACCAGTGCAAACTGCCTCTTACCTGCCGGTAACAAGGGAGAACAGAACACCCAAGAGCCCAACAGGCGGCCGAAAAACCGAAAGGTAAAACGGACCAGCAGAGGCAGACCCCGAGGAGCCTGTGGAAGGTGGCCCCAAGCCCCAAGGGCAGTACTTACAGGGCACCTAGGGAAGGCAGCCCTAGGCGCATGCAGCCCGAGTACTGAAGATAACTCCTGGCTCTCGCACCCACAAAACTAACACCACACTCAAAGCACAGTGCAGTAGCGACACCGGAGCCAGAGCACACGACCACCGCCAATAGCATCAGCCTCAAGAACTGAGGTGTGGGTAGCCGGCGCGGGGGGTCTGGGGCTCCCCCTTCCCCCTCCCGGGGAGGGGGGAGCTGCGCAGACAGCGGCGCGGCAGTGTGTGACGTCACACTAATTTGCTTGTTTTCGGTTGGGGAGTTCTATCCACTAGTTCGGTATTAGGTAGCAATTTTAACCAGAATAGGGGTTTGTTTTGGGGCGCTTACCTTTCTGGGTGCCTGTTCCGGTCGATGGCAGACATAGAATGCTTCCAACTACACGGGGGCTTCTATAGGCCATTGCTCCCCTTGCCTCTCTGAGGGGGCCCGGTTCTGGCCGTGGTCCCCGGTAGGCCTAAGAACTCCATACACATGACTGATGCCAAAGTCTGACATTAGCATATCAGCCTGGGATAGCTCCGGGGAGCCGACGGGGCTCCCCCCAGAAAAGGGAAAGATTGACCCTTTAGGGTCACCCTAAACGGAGCTAAATAGATTGAAGTACTGTAGTATTCAGGAAATGAAATTTAAATTTATTAGGAATTCAGACAAAGTGATGAGGAATTTTGTTCGGACAAATTGATCAGGAAAAATTATGGTCATTATGACAAGATCTTTCAAAGGAAGTGAGAGAGAAGCCGAAACTGAACCTTGTGGAAGAAAAATGTCTAAATCAGATTAAGAACGAAGAAGAAATCAATTATTTTTTCTACAAGGTGATAGGGGGTAGGCCAGCTTGTGAATTGGTACAAAAAGGCAAACCAACAAAATCACTAGAGAGGGGAGGAAAGGGGAAGTAAAGAACAAGAGAAGAGGGAACATGTTCCTGGAAAGTGTATATACAATACTGTACTGTACTAACATAGATGGACTGACATAAAAAATACTAAAATTACACGATATAATACAGCTGAAGATGCCAAACATTATTGCACTAACGGAGACGAAACTCAAAGTTAATATTTAAAATGAGGTCGTATTCCCAAAGGGAATACTCAATCTAGAGATGGGACAGAAAAATTAGGAAAGGTGAAGACGTTGCCATGCTGGTGAAAAAACACCTAAAGGTAAATTAAATAATGATGGCCAATACACAAGAAGTTGACAATATCACATAATATTTGTAATCAAGGTGATTAACTGGTAATCATTTAGTCCTACACTCCACCAGCATGCAAAACATGAAAAAACCAGTGTTGAATGTAATGAAATGCCAATTTCTGGGTGAGCCCCGGAGGCTTCCTGAAGCAATCATACTGATTAGGTGCCATTCTACTTTTAAGTGTTATCACTCACAGAATTCTTTCTGTCTACCGGAGACGACAAGCCAGAACCTGGTTCCCTCAGAAAGGCCCAGGGAGTGATGGCCCACAAACTCTTTACATTGAAACGATATCATATTTCCCATCATCCAGGGAAGCACCCAGAAAGGTAAGCGTATCAAAACAGACAACTGCTGATTGAAAAAACCAGCGTTGAATGTAATGAAACGCCATTTTCTGGGTGAGTCCTGGGGGCTCCCCGGAGCAATCCATGGCTGATATGGATACCCTAACTATTTTGCATCAGTCGATGTGGGTGGAGTTCTAGGCCTACCGGGGACCACGAACCAGAACCTGGCCCTCTCAGAGAGGCACGGGGAGCAATGGCCCATAGAAATGCACATGTGATTTGGAGCATTCTATATCTGCCATCGACCGGGACAGGCACCCAAAAAGGTAAGCGCCACAAAACAAACCCCTATTCTGGTTAACAACAAAAATCGACAAACGAGTGAACAGAACTCCCCCAGGAAAACGAACTAACAAGCATGACGTCACACGAGCCGCGCTGCATGTCTGCGCAACTCCCCCCTCCCCGGGAAGGGGAAGGGGGAGCCCCAGACCCCCGCGCCGGCGATCCCCGCCCCAGTTCTGAGGCTGGATATCAAAACCGCGAAAAAAATCCGCCGACCGGAGGGCGGGAGGGTGCCGGGGAGCCTCCGGGACTCACCCAGAAAATGGCGTTTCATTACATTCAACGCTGGTTTTCTGGGGGGAGCCCCTACAGCTCCCCGGAGCTGCCTCACCAAAGACTACCTAAGAAAACAAGGGGACATACCCGGGAGGCGGTCGGTGAATCACTCCTCAACACGAAGTTGAGACAACAACCCAAGGTATATCATTCGCAAGAAAAAAGGGAGAACAGCCGCAGACGAAGAAACCTATGATCACGACCATAGGAGCCAAAAACACTGCGCCTAAGAAGAGCAAGAAGCTCTGCCACACGACCCCCAGAGGCGAATGCCAACACAAAAAGAAAACCGAGGCAAAGCAAACCTGACCCCAACGAGCCACAACCAAGGAGAAGAAAAACAGGAGAGCACCCTGTTCAAAGACCAGGACGACATAGGCAGTGCATAAGCAGGCCGGAGGTGTAACAACGCACGATACAACCTGCGCAAAGGCGCAGAAGGAATATCGATACCGAAGGCTAGCAGCAGAAACCAAGGTGCCAGACCCAGGAACGGCCCCAAGCGCCTCTACAACCTCCGCAAGCCAATCCTATGACACCCCCAGGAGGGAAAAGAAAACGCAGGACCAAAACAAAAACGCCACAAGTGTGCAAGTCCACCTCCACAAGTGCAGCTGACAGGGAAGGAACTCGCATAAGGAGCCGCCCCGCACCAACATCCCGCAGAAGGGCAGGAGCGAAAAGACTCATTAAGAGGAGCAAAATCGCTCCCAGGAAAACTAGTAGCGCCGAGACAGTGTGAAGAGAAGAGATATTCACAAAAGAACAAAAAGGCCAACACCCAGAAGCTGCCGGGAAGAGGACCCACAAGCCCTAGAAAGGCCCGGAGAGAAGCCCAACCGAATGACGACAGACGCACCAGAAAACGGGCACAATGGACAAGGAACCGAGCCCAGGGAGGGGCCGACGCCCACAAAGCACGTGCGGAGAGGGGGAACGGAAAACCCCACACCACAAAACTGCTAGTCCCCCCCCAGAGGGGTAGAAACACCCCGGCAGGGACCAACGGGCCTGAGGCCCCGCACGTGAGCCCCACCCCAGCCCCGGGAACCCACCCTGCAGGCCCCGGGGCTGAGCTGTCCCCACAAAGCCCCAGCGTCAAGAAAAACCCCGGGGCAGCCGTGAAAAACACGAAGGAAGGGAGCCCACTAGGCTTTGGAACTTGAACCGAAACCGGAGGATAGGCAAGGGGCGAGACGAAGACCCCAAGCTCATCCTCAGCGAGCACAATGAGGCGAGGACAAGACAGAGAACCCAAGGAACATGGAAAAACCAGGCCCGGCACAGCAAGACCAGCAAGGAAGGAGAGCCCCAGAGGGAGCACGGAAGGGCCGAACATAACGCCACAACCAACCCAGACACGCAGCTGCAGTAC